GGCTATGATTAAATACCTCAGAGATGAACAGAGTGGTTCACACCTCTCCAAGTTATTGTTCTAGGCTCTTATCAGGCTCCCCTGCACTGCTGCATCAGCTGCATTTTCATGCACATGAGATTTTCTTTGAATCTGTAATAGTTGGAAACCTGTTTAAACTGAGATCCTGGAGAGCTTCTGATAATGTTAAACTGGCAGAGAGAGATTGACTGGAACCCCGGCGAACTTCTTGAACTGCAGATTCACCCTTAAAAGGTTGAGGCAGGTTAATAATACAAGAATGGCCAAACTGGCTCCTTGTTCCTCCTCTGATCTCTCTAGGTAAGGTGGAGGGAAATGAAACACTATAAAGAAAATTGCAAATAACCTGCAAGGAATACAGAGGGCAGATGGGAATCACACTGCTCCCAAAAGAATCTCTCTTCCAAAAATAGCATAAAGGGAAGCCTGGGGTATTCCTACACCACCAGGAAAATGGACGTTCTGACCATTCAAGCAACGGCAAAGCGAGTCAACCTGCCCAACCTCAGTTCTCAGAAACATGCATGACATGCCAAAAACTCCTCAGTGGTCTCTTGAATTCAAGTTCGCATCCATACCGAGCAACGCGCGGTTCCCCGAGTCTACGGAGGAGCAGCAGATCAGCCGTGCACGTTGTCTCCTGCAGTAACAAGCCGCACCGTTCAGGACCCCGCGCCCAGCAGGACGGGGTTTTCCAACCACACGCTGGAAGCTGTTTCAGTTTACCTCAAGGCACGTTATACTACTGCCCTTTCTTTCACTAAAATCCTCCTGTTGCCACCCTATTTCACCGCATTAGCCCGTCTGCCGGCTACGGAACCCATGCTGCACGCTAACTGCACAGGGAGATGGGAACCCCGGGGTGATTTTCCTGAGGGAAGAGGGAATGCCTGAAAGAATTTGGATTTTTGCAACACCGGGAAGAACTGTTCCCTGCTGCCATCCCAACTGCCAAGTCAACATCCCCACGTTTCCAAAATATCTTCTGCTCTAAATATTTAGCACGGGAATACAAGCACGGGCTCTGTTACTGTTAACAGAAGTCACGAGCATGGCTCCCTGCTCACTGAGCAGATAATTTACCCATCCGGCTCAGGAGTAAAGACAGGGCTTCTCAAAACACGAGTCGTCCCAGGCTGGGAACACCACAGATGCCAGCGAAATAGCGAAGAAAACTAATTTGGAAACGTCAAAGCTGCTTAAGACACTTAGAAGGACAATAGCAGTAAAAAAAGTGAGTTTGTCTTTTGGACATGAGCAAAAGGAGTGAAACACATGCGATATGGAATACTGGAGGAAAGAGAACCTTCTTGATCAAAACTAATGCTTGTATTTGTATACACTGAAAGAAGAACTGTAAGGTTGATATGGTACTAAATATATATGTACAGGATATAAATATATGTACTTTTAGTTCTTTTTTTTCCAAAAAAAATGAACTGTGAATCTGAAGTTCTTAGACAAACTCATAAAAACAACCTTCAGCTTTGGTATACTTTTTGCCCCACTTCACAACCCTGAAGCAATATACTCCGACTTATTGCAGAAACAGCCCGACGTACAGATCTCCGGACAGCCCGCGAGCCCAACGCGAGCGCCTCCTTCCGATGCCGTACGTGGGTTGAAACGACTGCGGCCTCTGTCGTACAGCGTATGGGTACCAAACGCAAAGAATTTGATCATTCCTCAGCTATTCTGATACTGATATCATTTACTCTGGTTTTATCTTCAGCACTTTATGAATTCACCACGCCAACTTGAATGAGAAATGAACAAGTCAATCCATAATTTAAATACTAAAATAGATACGGGTGATTTCAAGTATTGGTTTTAAGTCAGCCAGTTGTTAGGACTGCACTTAGGTTACAAACTGGTTACGGACAATTTTAGTTAGCACTCAGTAAATTAAAACTTTGACAATCACACGTAGCTGAAAGTCTTTGTGTATAAATGTGAAATTTTATGTATGTATACACATATATTTAAAAATCTCAAATAAATACTCCCCCTCCCCAAACAGAAACCATTACTTTTAAACTCCACCAGCTTCACAAGGAGCAGAATAACCTTAGGTTATTACAATTAGTTTCATCTCATGAATAGATCAGTTGCTTTCAAGCATACTGAAAACTGAATTTTACTTTGTTGCTTCTCCTTTTAGTCTACATTACAGCCTGTGTTCTTAAGTTTTAAGGAGAGCCATCACAGAATAGGTTGTAATCTCCGGTGATTAACTGCACAGCATTTTACAAGCTGTAAAATAGAGCAAGATCTCCACAAACCGATTATGCCATTAACCAGGCACTCTTATCAGATTTTTCTACAACTAGCAGGTTTGTCTGATGATTGCAAGTCTTAAGTATTTATATATTTCAAAGGTTTACTTATTTTTGTTGTTAAAAACCCCTAAAATCTATATTGATTGTTACATGAAAAGTCCCAAGCACCGTGGAGCAGAATACCAATATTTATTACTAGACTCGCGCTCATTATGGTTCTCTCTGACAGGGGTCCATTAAAATCAATTTTTATGTTTCTTATGGTTTGGTTTTTTTTTTCCCCTACCCAATGTTCTTACCATACTGTTTATTAGCCAGTTAGGAGAAACACTGGGCACTGTTTTTATTTTATTCTGTCGAAAATAATGAGGCCAGATTTAACAACTATTCACTAGCGATGAGTAGAAGAGATTAAATATTATACTTCAGCACAAACATTTACAGATGGCTTTAAAATTTTTAGAACTTCATCATCAGTAAAGACAAAAGCAAGTCCCGTCTTCCACCTCGTTTTCGGATTTGAATTCTTAAAATAATTGGGAGAATATTCCGCTTACCATTAACTTCTGCAACACTCCTGAGTAGTATTCCACCTATAACGATTTTTGCATATAAATCAGGCAATCTGCTAAGTTAAGTGTTATCAAGATGCCGCGAAAGCCTCAACACTTCTGTTAGGCTGGGAAATTAAGTCAGCTCACCAGTGAGAAAATGGAAGGACCGAGATCAGATAAAAATTAAAGAATCGAGAAAAGGGTCTAGGCCTCCTGATGGCTGCCTGAAGAACAAGATCATGAGACCCTTCTCCGACCAGCCAACCCGGCCTTCTTACCCAAGTAAATGGCAGCCCCCAGAAACGAGCTGTCCTTGCGAACGGGACGGACCTTGCCTCGCAGGGAGCGACCCACCGCTTGCGAGCAGCGGCATCTTTCATTTCTGCCCGCAGAGGTGAGTAACAACGTCCTCGAGGCTTTTGGGGACACACGAGTCGTTTGCTGGAAAAAGGTCTGTGTGCCTGAAAGATCGATTTCACTACCCTGCTCTGAAGAGATTCACTGTCCTTAAAAATTTTGTTCAAAAAGAGAAAGCAAGCCATCAGGTGAAACATTCGAAACCTCAACATTAAAGATAAAGTCAAACACGGCCTTTTGCTCTTCCTTCTCCAGGAGGGCTATACAACCACACGCGGTATAACAATACCTCCCCATTCACCTTCTTGGCTTGTACTAATTAAAAGCCTGTAATTATTTCCTTCCAATAACCTGCCATTTCACTTTGAGCCTGTATTTTTTTTGTATCCATGACTTCACAATTGTTTTTTGTCTTCAGCTTTTATTTTCGTGCAATTCACTTTATGTCTAGGGTTATAAAGAACACTATAGGATTTCTGGGTTTCGTCACCTTCAAGAGCCCATGGATCCTTTTCCTACTGTTCTTCCCCCCCAGTCGCTGACTTTTCATCTTCTCAAGGATGAGGAGTCCTCACCTGCTTACTTGTTCCTCAGGCAGACGCTGCTCTGCAGCAAAGGCAAGCTTCAGCCTTATCCTCAGTACCACTTTATTTCCATTCCTCATCAGCAAAAATCCAATACTGAAATCAGCATATGAAGAAAGTGAAGCACTTATTTCCATATCACTGGAGCTGGCAAAACTGTCAAAACCAGAGGCTTGAGGAAACCCTCAAGCCTATTAGAGGCAGAACCATCTTTCAGTCAGAATATGCACTATACTTCCTATTCCGGATTACTTTTATGCGCACTTAAATTACAAGGGTAATAAATAGGAAAACAGGAAAGGGGAAACCCCACAAATCAGTGGAGAATTTCAGAAGCAAAAAGCAGGGGAGAAAAGGACAAGGTGGAGAAGGAAGCCAAACCTGGTTGAGTCTTGTCAGGAAAAGCCCTGCTCTAACGGACCATGGCAAAGCTGCTATTTTATCACCCAAACCAGTCAAAGGGACCGGCCTTAATAAGTACTGTTAGGATATTTCATTTTGGCAGAGGAATTCGGCAAAGAAATGTGGCATCTAGTCATTTTGAAAGAATTCAGTGTCCCTTCTAAAAACGTCACTCAGCATTTCCTCACAAATAAGGACAAAGCAAACCAAAGATCTGAGCAGGCCAGATGTACTTTAGCAGATTGAACAGCACTCGTATTCATCAGTAAAACGCGCCCATACCTCCTCAGTCGGTCTTCTATTTGAGACATCACCTCCACCGCCATGTATTATCATCTGTTCTGGGCTCCAGAAGATGTTACAGATATGCAAACCCAACCAAAGCTCTCACAAGTAGTATGCAGTAGTTAATTAAAATAATTATTTGATCCTGGTTCCGCCCATTGGAACTTACATATCTAGATACAGGTCTTCAACACATGCAAAGTATGCAAGGAGGTCTTGCTCCTCAGTGACAGATTTATTGGTGTGTCCAAAATTAGGGGGCAGGGTGTTTCAAAACCTATGTTAAAAATACTTTTGTTTTAGAACATTTCTCTGCTAATATTATAGACGCAGCAGAAAAAGAAAGGCATTTTGGAGCTGCCACTCTGTCAAGGTATAAACAAAGCTGCTCCTGCCTCTCACTGTGTTCCCAGTATGGCCAGTAAAAACAAGTACAAGCGGTCGTGTCTTAGATCCTCTGGGCAATCTCTTTCCTCTACGACATACATAAACATAGAATCAATAGGACATGAACTTACCCACTTGGCAGCACGCTCATTTTTGGAAGTTTTATTTCGTGTAAGCCTGTTTCACACCCAGATATCTGGAGTTTTCCCACGGGGCTAAGTAGAACCGCGTGTTTCTCCCTGCACGGAGGTTCTCTCTCTTTGGCAGCCACCTGTTCATAAGAACAAACTCCTTTTTAATTGCATGCATTTCCACCAAGGAACACTCATCTCAAGGTATTTTGAGTAGTTTTCAAAGGTAATTTAAAAAAAAAAAAAAGGCAAGAAAACAGTGTATTTCAAGTTTCCTCCACTATGGCTTTTACTTTCAAAACTCCAACTTAAGATGATCCATCCTAAGAAATCAGCATCTAAAATCAAATCCTCAAACCCCACATTAACTAGCAGTGACCTTCGTAAAAATCTCAAGTAACAGCAGTTTCATGGTTGGTTTATCAGCTACCATCCCTGCGTTTTGACACTGATTTCAAGAGGACTGTTGTGACAAAAGTATATTCACTGGGTTACAGCAGCAGGGTTATGCAAATAACTGCTGGAATACAAACAGAATACGTCTGCTGGAAAAATATATGAAAAAAAAAATCAATCATTCCTCAGGAAAAGAAACCTTTTTTTTATTCCCGTTGTTACCAGTCTGGTTTTATGATTACTGATAGGATGTAGTTGGAAACAGATGCCAGGCATTTCTCAGTATCCTACAAGACCAACAATAACATGCTTGTCAAATTCATCTTGGCTAAAAAAACCCAAACCAACCCCAAACCAGTCTGACTCAGTAGATGTTTGAGTTGTATTTACAGTTTGGTTTGTACAATTGTTAGGAGACAAACAGGACAGAACACCACAACTACGTCCACTGCCATCACCCAGACACCAAACCGTGGGTTCGGACCACATCACCATCGGTGTTGGACGACCAGGACAAAAAAGCCCTTGCTCCAAAGAGCTAAATTCAAGTGAAACTGGACAAAAAAAAAATGACCAGAACAAAGAAACCCAAGAAATTAGAAGGCAGCACAAGGTAACTCGATCAACAAACATCCCAGTGACGGTGAGGGACCAACAAGGTTTCTTGGTTTTTAGTCACTCAGACCGTACAGCTAACTTGCAGTTGGCCTCACACCCAAAAAATTCACTTGTTACTGCAACATTCAGAACCAACAACCCCACAGGCAACTGCACAAACTTATCTTCCCCAGTATTTCACAAGTGTCTGAAGTCCCCCCCACCTAGGACACCTACGTCTGCCTGGGAGGCAAGGCAAGGATGGCTCCCAGGGGAGGCATCCTGCCTGCAAGGGGGAGGATGCTGAAAGCCCGATGAATCACAGAATCATGGAATCATTTAGGTTGGAAAAGCCCTTTAAGCTCCCCCAGCCCAACTGCTCCCCTACCCCTGCCATCCCACCCCCAAACCCTGGCCCCTCAGCACCACCTCTGCCCGGCTGTTAAATCCCCCCAGGGCTGGGGACTCGACCCCTTCCCTGGGCAGCCCCTTCCAGCCCCTGACAGCCCCAAGGGGAAGGAATTGTTCCTAATGTCCAACCTAAACCTCCAAGGTATCAGATGAAATGCAGAAGTGATTAAGAAGCTGGGACACCAATTGAAAAGCCCAATGACAGACTAAGGGTGCATCGAGAGGTGGGAAAACCTATGCATGACAACTTACAGGTGACCACTGCTTGCAGCAGTACAATAATTATTTTTTTTTTTTTTTCAAAATGAGAGTATTTCTTTCCAGATCCCATTATGAAGTGCTATGTAATGGAGTCACGCCTGCAAGTAATATAAACACAGAATGGCAAGGGTTGGAAGGGACCTTGGGAGATCATCTAGTCCAACCTTCCCGAGGTGGGGGGGGAAAATCAAGTAGATGGTTTTGCCCACCAGGGCAAAAGTAAACTTCAGCCTCTGAATTTCGGGAAGCACCCACGGGATTCCTCAGTTACAGCCATGCAGCAACCAGCACAAATGCACTCAGCTTCGAGGAGTTCTGTGCAGCGTGCCGGGCTTGGAGAACTGCAGGTTCCTAGAGGTTCATTTAGTTTGACTGTAATCCAAATCAGCTTTTTCCTAAGTAATGAAATGTTTGCTGGTGTTGCAAAGAAATGCTCCTTTTCAGCCAACTTTTTCCTCATTCCTTCTCCCTCCTCAAGGAGAGGACATGGGCAAACTTTTTTTTGGAGCAGCACTTCACTGCAGAAGTCGTAGTAAAAAAGCAACGTAAAAGTTTACATATGTGGAAAACCAGTATACATCCTTCATTTTTATTTGTGTGACAGCCCTAAACTGGATGCACTGAACCTCATACCATGTAGTCCATGAATATAACAACTTCGTGATAAGAGGACAGCTTTTTCATTATAACAAAACGCAGGATGCAGCGAGTAACAGAAAACTATAAATAACCCTATGAGTTCCCACCAAGTTGAACTAAGCTTTATAGATGAAAACCTTGAGTGAGTACAACTAGTATTTTCAGTCTTGTTTATCATATGCATTGAGCAGCAATATTTAGAAGGTTTATTTTTATAAAAGAATGAAACTGCCTGACATATAGCCCCATACATATGCGATGGGGTTGGGAGCCTCAACGATGAAGGTCACTGTCCACACAGACGAGGCACGCTGTCCTCTGCCCAGATGCTAATGGGCCTTTTCACCACGTACCTACAGCTCCCGAGATGAGCCAGAGAAGATCAAGGCAACGATACACTCCTGCAGGCAGTGCTATTGCAAAATAAAGTGAAGTTTTATTCAAGATTTAAATTAACTGCAACGGTTTTCAGATGCTAATAAACAGCCTTTAAACTTGGCCAGCTGAAATTACCAAATACTTAAGATATCATTCACTGCAGACTGGCGGACGCCAAAATTCTGCTCCTGCCCACATCCTTCCAGTACAGACACAATTTGCTCAACACCATCTTCCCACAGCGCCCTTGGTGAAGCTGTGAGAACAAGAAATGAATAGCAGCTTAAAGCAAAAAAATCAAATCCCAATAAACTGCCTTCTGCCTTTTTTCTCCAGCTTATGTAAATGCATCATTTGAGGAATCTTGATCAGGTGTTGCATGAACTCCACCCTCGCTCTCCATTTCCACAGTTAACGCCTATAAATCTGTGTCAAAACCTCTCTAATTTTGAAATTTATTAGGTAGAAGAAAAAAACCAAAAAGGACTTTTAGAAAGGAAACTTCTCCTGCCATCCTCTGGAGTCTTGCTACAGAAATAAAGACGTAGGAGCGGTGTATGTAAGTCCGTACCTCACTAGGCTGCTGAACACTCTACAGAACATCGGAAGACTGTTGTTAGCCAACGGAATTAAGTCCTTTTTGTCATTAATAACAGACTTGTATCAAAAGGTTTTCACAGTGGAAGATTTATCAGTAAGAATATGAGCATCATGTATGAGTTAATGTCCTGTACAGAAGAGCCTCATTTTCCAGGCGTGCTCCCGTGACTTTGCAACGGCACGTGCCTCAGTGGCACCGCGCTCCTCCAACAGGCGAAGGTCCCCTAAATTACACATCGACTCCACTGAACACCACTAGGAAACAGAGATGTGCCGCTCAGATAGCATCTGAATCCTAGGAAAGCAAAGGATGCAAACCAGCAGCGAGTTTTAGCTCCTAAATGAGGTGCCATGAACCCAAAAGCCAGCATTAGCTTGATGACTTGCATGGAGGGATCCTAACCTCTCACGCTTTCCACTGTAATTAACAGCCTTGCTGCAGCCAAGGTTTTCAGGACTAAAACATACCTCCCATTGGATTACATATATTTTTTTTGCATTAATGGTTTTTCACATTACAGGAAATAATTCAAAATTATTTCCTATGTTCTACTGCTCCTAAACCCCCCCAAAAATTCCATTGTAGCTTGGTCTGAGATCCTAGAATCCAATTCATACCCATAATGGGGAATGGATAAACAAAGAAATGCTGAGAAATCACGAGGATCAACAAGGTTCAAACAAATCCATAGCAAAGTGTTTCCATGCTTCATGTTCTCCCAAGGGGTTTGCATTTTCCAGAAGACAAGCCAAGAGAGCAAACCTCACGGCATTTCCTGCGCTTCGGCACCGAGCCCCAAATCACTGCTCCTGAATTGAAGGGGAGAAAGAATGCAAAAAATCTTCAGCGCTTTCCAACTTTTCCCGTGTTTCTCCTCTTAAAGATCTCACGGTGCGTGCGTACAGCGTTACAACCCCAGAGGCTGCAGATTTCTGCTGGAAAAATGCGACGGTACTGCCTGGGGATGGGGTTGCAGCC